AACAATCGACTCGTGCAACCAAGGAAAAAGACATTGCAGGTGAGTGCGCTGTTGGCCGTGAACGCCATGAATGTTTGAGCACCTTCGTGGATAACCCTGCAATCGTGAAGTGGCCCGGTTAAAGCGCAGAAAGACGCCCAGGTTTAACATTATCTAAGCTGAGCTGTGATTTGGACCAAACTCAGGAACTGGCGCTTTCTTTGGAGCAGCCTCCCCAGGGACAGGCGAATGTTAGACTTAGTCAAGGACAACCCTGGGACCTTCAAGTTTGCTGGAGTGAGGATTTGCAGCAGGGCGTTTCAAAAGCTTACAGGGATATCCAGTGGAACCTTGCAGAACATTCGTAACAAGATCGAGAAAGGAGTGGTGAGCATTTGGCGTAGTGACGCCCTTGCCTGGACGGCAATCCGCAATCAAGCAAAGGCCCACCGCTACCTGGACAGCAGACAGTGGATCGAAACATATGCTGAAACGCACGGGGAGCGTTCACCGATGAGCCTCCAGATCTATCTTCCAGCGGGCAGGAAGTTTTTCTACCATTCGCAGTATGACTTTGAGAGGAACCTTAGGCTATATTGAGAAAAAACGTCAGTAGCAAATCCAAGTATGTGAAACCAAAGGGTGATGCGTGACATGTTCATACAAATTGTCACACCATGTCACACCTAGGAGTGAGCAAAATTTGGGGCATTTGGATGGAAAGCCTGCGGATTTATCGACCTTTCGCAAAGCTTGGACCAACGAGCTGTCTTGGGTTCGCATTGCCAAATCAGATTCTCGATTGAAGCCGTAAAGTTGATTGTCGGAAGGCATAAGCCATGTGACTTCTCATTTGTGCTGAACAAAGGAGTCCATGTTCACCGCTTGCTCGGCCTGCACCTTTCTGAAGAACATGTTGGACAAGACCCCGAGAAGTGAACTCCAGATTCTCACCGCTGTGAAGAAGCGATTAGGACTGTGATTCACTGCCTGACTGTGACTGACTGACTTGAATTGCATAGGTATTCGTGATTGGTTCCAGGAAGACACTACACCTTCCAGGCAGCGCAGCGGCTGGCAATTGCAAGGTGTCAAGAGATGTGCCGGCGAACTGGAGAAGATTGGTGACCTCTGTTTGAGGGCGTGTGAATGTCAGCAGTGAATGATTTTGATGCGCGACATTGCCACTGACCATCTGACCCTTGCTGTCAGGTACTTGTCAATTGACAAGTGTGACCAGAACAAGACCATCCTCCCATGCGTTCATGATATGTTACTGATTTCAATATTTGCTACTGTGTCATTTTTCCTGCTGTTCAGAAAGCGTCTTGAACACCACCAAGGCTTGCCACACAGTTGTTCAAGCTGGGGGAGCGCTTTGTTGTTGGCGTTGTGGGTGTGCATTACGCTGGCCCAAAGCGCATCTTGGATACACGTGCAAAATCAGTTTTCTGCAGCTTTTGTTTCACGCAAGCTCCGCAGAGTGCCTGAGGTGAGGATGAGTTCTGCCTGACCACCACCTTGGAGAACGCCTCCCATGGAGCCAACTCTCAGGCAACAATGCTCACCAGGCAACTCCATCGTACCGCTATGAAAGAGGGCCGGCTCCCACACTGCTTGTATGTGGGGGCCGACAACACCCCGAAAGAGACCAAGAACAGTACATGCGTATGCTGGGCCATTTGGCTGCTGGCAACCCTTCACAATGGCACTGGGTTGAAGGCTGTGGAATTTCAATACCCGCTGGTGGGACACACTCACGGATCGCTGGGCCGGTTCTTTTCCAGATTGATTACATCGTTGAGGGGGCGAACGTATTTCACAATGGACGAAATGGCCACTATCTCTTCCCAGTCATTGAAGGCATTTGCCATGAACTGGAGCCACCATGGTTCAAGCTACGACTTCACTCACCTTCGCACCTTGTATGGCATCGAGCTTCACCGATATCGAAATGTCCACTCCCTCCGGCTCTATGTGGACAATATGGGGATTTGGGTCAAGTGGAGGCAATACGTGTCAGATGAGTCATGGTCAACACCACTTTTGCTGGTTGAGTATGACCGCGTTGCCGTGTTTGCCACGGCAAAACCGCCTTTGGTGAAGCATGAGTTTGATGAGCAATCAAAGGCGAAGCACTTGAACTTCTTAGACAAGTTGGAAGCTTGGGCATTTGTAGCTATGATTCGTGATTTCTATTAATAGTTTTTTGTCTGATCTTGGCCTAAGGAAGCCTCATTGGCAGCATCGGGCCAAGTCGCAAGGGAGCAACTTCGTGAATTGCGGGCTTATTTGGATGGGCCAGATGCTGGCCCATCTCTGGAAGCTTGATGATAAATTATTATTGCGACATGTTAGATCTTTGGTTGGGTGGGTTCATTCATACGCACTGAGGAGACTATGATTTCGGATTTGAGAAGCGCTCATTTGGGCCCGCGCCAGCTTGTCGCCAGAGAGCCAGACCCCCTGGAAATCCTAAATGACATCTACTACTCAATTTCGATGGGGGCTGATCGAGTCGCGAGCACCTGCCAGGAAGGCTTTCATTGGCCCTGGCGACTTCTGTGTTGTGGCTGGCAAAGATCAAACGCTGCCCATCGTTCTCGGAGTTTTGATGGAGTTGGTAAATTACGATGGCGAAGAGCAGGGATTGTTCTTTGGAGGCATTGAACGGTTTGGCAATTCAAGTTTTCAGGTGGAGCAGTTTGATTGACAGCCACAAACCAAGGTTTGCGCGGTACCATCCAACACGTTCACCAGAGATGAACATGCGAGCCGGGCGCAAAAAGAAGGTCCTGGACATTTTCGGCGCCTGGATCCGTGCAGACGATGTCTCACTCAACGAGACATTGACGTTGCCTTCGGTGCTCCAACCGGCATCAAAGGTGCTGGCTTGGGACTTTGATCCAGAGCAGGATGTGGAGGGAGATGCGGTCAGCCTCCTCATCCCGTTCTCTGTGTTTGATCATGTGATGGGTGTGCATCGCATCGACATCACGGGGCTGAATCTGTCATCCACCAAGCGAGGAAATTTGTACAGAACGCATCGCTTGATGATGCCTTTGGGATCTTGAGGTTGGGGTTGGAAAAGTTGGCGATCTCAGATTCAGATTCAGCATTTTTCCTCAAGAACACTCATTTTTTCAGCATTCAGATTCAGATTCAAATAGTCAGAGGTCAAAGGTCGTGTCAAAGGAGCTGTTCAAAGTCACAGGTCAAAGGTCCTCAACGGTCATGTCAAAGGAGCATTTCATGTTCAAAGTCAAATACTGCGATTTGAGTTTGATGTGCCATATCTTTGCCCTCACTTCGCAGACCCTTTTCGAGCAGGTTCTGACAGGTCTTGTTAGAGAGCCATGTCTGACCTTGACGATGCTGAAACCTTCATGCTTGAGTTGCTGGTGAGACAGCTGGATGACATGTCATGCCGGGCCAAGATGGAGCAGTGCCCAGGTGTCAACTGCAAGATTCTGTAATGATTGTCGTGTTGAATGAATTTGGTTTTGGTTTTCAGTGTTTCCGAGTACTTCTTCAGGTTGCAGCGCTTCGTGATCACTTTATCCAGGAGAGACCATTTGACGCAGGAAGAACCGGGGTCACTCGGCCGTCGGATTTCTTAAGTGCGTCAAGTGAATGAGTCTGACACCAAGGAGTGATGATTTTGATAGCCGTGTGACTTTGGAGAACATCAGGCACTCTGTGACACTGAAGTTACTTGACAGCATTCCTTTGTCGTTCATGTCTCCGTTGTGTCAAGGGTCCGGTTTTTGACTGGAGGTATGTTTGGGAGAAGACCCAAGAGTTCTTGCACAACCAGTGTGAATCTATGCTGAGCAAATCAAGCAATGCGATGGAAGCTGTTCAGACTCTCAACAAGATGGATATCAAGGCAGGGAAGGTAGTGGCCCTCATCGTGACTGCAACCTGCACATATGCTCCTGGTCAGGATGTGGGATACCATACCACGGCCCCAATCGGCGGAAAGATGTATCACATTGCACCATGGGTGGAAGGACCGCTCTTTCATTTGGGCCCCTTGTCCAACAGTTGTTTTTGTTACATGTTTTTGTCACATGTTTTCTTTGCCACATTCGAGATTCGAGGTCCCAACGAAGAGATCAGATTCAATCAGTGCGGCTTCAACCTGATTTGTCTCGCCGATGTGACTGCGGAAAGCGATGACATGTCGATGTGAGGGTGAAAATGAGCTGTGCGGAGCGGATCCCTTTTAGTGATAACACGTTTCATCACTGAACGCTGTGATTGCCAGGACTTGCCTCTCCACCAGCTGGCGTGCAGCTTTGGGTTGTGGGTTGGGTGATGGGTTGGAGGTTGGGGGTTGGGTTGGACTTGTGTTCATCATCATCATCATCATCATCATCTTCATCATCATCATCATCATCATCATCACTTTATTCTTCTTCTTCCTCCCCCTCAGCTTTAGCATCTTAAATGAAGAAATTTGAGAGCATCTTCTTCTTCTTCCTGAGAACATCTTCATCTTCTTCCTCCCCCTCTTCTTGAGTATCAATAGCGTCAGAAACAAGAAACTGAGAGTCAAAAAAAAGTGGGAGTCATTTTTGCAAGCCCCTCTGATATGATATATTTGCTTATTGTTATTGTGTGCTGAGTTGTTACGCTGGTTGGACTGCTGCAATGCTGGGTGTGGCCTTGCACAGGGGTCAACACACAGGTCCATATCCTCCACTAAACAAGAAAACACAAAAGAGAAACATTGACAAGGAAATCCAAAAACATGCGACTGTCTATCGTGCTTCTAGGGTCGCAAGCAGAATTTGCTGCAAAAATCCTGAGCTATCCACTGCCCATCAAAAACATCGATAAACTTGATAGGTGCCAAAGCATGGCTCCAATTCGCAGCTTGGCACTCCGGCATTGTGAGAGTTGACATCGCGGTGCCATGCCAGGGGCGCCTTCAAATGACAAGTTCAAACAGCGGTGTGCTCAACCCCCACTAGTGAGCAGGCTCATCCACTACAGTCACGATCTTTTCCAGGAATGTCCAGGCACGCATTGTAATGCATTGCATTGTGTCACTTTCTGCTGGCAACTCGTGACGTCACTGCATCGCCCGAAAGACCATTTTGGGCAACCGAATAGCACTCCTCTTCTTTGTGAAACTAATCATCGATCGTCAAACATTTGCAAAGCGTAACTTCCGGTGCAAGCATGCCAAGTACTGCCTCAATCGGCGCACATATAGTTTTAGCTGGTACTGACAAGGACCTTTCCATGAGCCTTGCGCCGTCTGGGCTTTCCTTCAGCTCTCAGACTTTTGCGAACTTAGATCTGAGACGCTTCAGTCCTTGGCGAACCAAAATGTTTTACCTCAAAAAGTGGGTTGTATCACCTATGTTTACAAACCACCCTACGCACCCAAACCCAAAAAAATTGTAGGGTCGATGGAAAAACCTAGGGTTTCTGAAGGAAACCCCAGGTTTCCAAACCAATACTAAAATACGGGTTTAGTACGGGTTAAATATGGGTTTAGTACGGGTTAAATATGGGTTTAGCACGGTTTAGAAAAACAAGACCCGAAGTTTTAAGAACAAACCTGAGGTATTTTTGATTTCACAAGAATACCCGAGGTTCCGATTGAGACCCTACAAATTTATAGGGTTTGGTTGCGTAGGGCATCCATGTGAACAGTATGCGTGAAGACCGAATATTGATTCTATGTTTCATTGTTTGTCCATATTCCAAGTTCGCAGTTCAAGCGCAAAAGTGCCTTGTGAAATTTGTTGGACAAATACGTTCGTTCCTTCTTACTCACTGCACGTGCGATCAATTGCCACAAACATATTATTGCGAAGCAGTCAAATTGAAATTATGAGGATTGAATCGTTGTAAGTTTAAGCAGCTATGCACAAACGTCAACCGCACAAAATGTGTTGCACTATTTTGTCAAGAGTCATTCGCTCAGCGGCGGCGGCAGCAGTTCTTGCAAGCAGGTTGGTATACCGCCAAAGCATAATTACACCAAATATAGTCAGCGATTGATCACCTGCATGTTGAATGGATTCGGTTCAAACTCTTCCGATTTTCTCGTCCAACACATATGCCTTGTGCCTTCCAAGGCACTACCCTCAGCCTCCTCCTTTGGCTCCCGCTTCTTTGGCGGAACTCACCACTGACTCGCGGGATAGCCTTCATCGTTGGCCACAATACTGGCAGCATTCACTGCAAAACAACCATGCCTGCTTTTATCTGAACCCTCAACCGCTTGAGGTCCGGACACCAAGCAAGTTGCAGGCAGAATGTGAGGCAAGTCAAATAGAACATGCGTCTCTGCACATAAATGAATTGAATCTCTAACAAACCGCTGCTTTTAAAGTACAGCCTGTAGAATCCCACACTTAGCACCAACTACCTTAAAATTTAGCTAACTTACCACTCAGCGACGCGAAGCAAACTCACTACTTCGTTGGGTCAAAACTCAAAACTTCAAAACTGAGCTAAAAGTTTCTTATTGTATATATATATTAATATGCTCACCCCCCCATGATCTACCTTTTCCTGCTTTTCAGCTCTTCCACTTTCATATTTCTCAGCTCTTCTATCTTTCCCTGCTTGTCAGCTGCTTCTCTGTACTAGGCTACCCCCTGTGGAATAGATTTTTGCAATACTTTGACAAGCTTTAAGTAGTCACTTAAAAAAGAAAAAAAGAAATCAACTAAAGAGCTTAAAGGGCAATCAAAGGAAATCAAAAGGAGTTGAAAAGATATCAACAAAAAACAACAGGAATGCAATAGGTAAAGAACAATTAGAAAAAATGAATGTAGACGTGATGGCCGGGGATGTTTTATTAAAGCCAAACAGGACAAACACTATTATTGTAGGGGGGTAAGGTATATTACGAGACAGTTCTAGTGTACTGGGCTAACCAGTTTGTGAAAAATATGTTTGCAATAGATTAAGTAAATAACCAAAGAACTTTAAAACAGTTGGAATCAACGGAAATGAACACGATTCAATAGAAATCAACAAGAACCACAAGGAGCTTTCACAAGTGTTCAAAAACAGAACTCACAATTAAAGTAATGCTAAACGAAACACATAGACATCGTTGCGGGGATGTTCCAGAGCAAAATGCACACAATATTTGAGAGGGTAATATCATTGGAAACAGGAAATGTGTAGACATTAAGCCAGGGGGTGTTATTATTAAAGCCAAACATTAATGTGCAGGGTTTTCTTATTCAAGATTTCTACTGTACTGGGCCAACCCCTTTGTGGAATAATTTGTTGTGATACTTTAATATGATATGAAATAATAAGGGAATTAACAGACATGACTCTATACTTTTAAAAAAGAAAGACAAAAGGATATGAATTCAATAGATAATCAAAAACAAAATGAATATTCAAAAGGAACTCACACGTAAAAATAAAGACAAATGAAAAGCTTAGACGTGATTGCAGGGGATGTTATTATGACAGCCAAACAGGGCAAACACTATGATTTTAAGGGGTTAGTATTATTATTCCAGATTTCTAGTGTACTAGGCTAACCCGAACTGATTATATAAAGAATTTAAACGACAATCAAGAGGAATCAAAAGGGAATTGGAATCACAAATAATGTAAACGGAAATCATTACGATTCAACAAGATTAATGCTACACACCTGCCGTTTATTAAAATTAAGGTTTTATATGTATATATATACGTGCTAAAAGACATCAGTGTTTGTCATGCTTGACCAACAAAACTAAACAAACAATAAAATAGTCTTCGAGATGCTTGGTAAGCAAAGAAATAGCCTGAAACCAAACTTCCCGGAAACATAAAAAACATGATTTGTTGGGTTTTGTCTTCTTTCTTTTGGCTATTGTTTGTTGTTGTTTGTTTTTGGTCAACACATGCAAAAGATGTATTTAGTTTGTTTAAATATATGTGTTATTAAACAAACAAACGCAAAAACAACTGGTTTTATATAAGCGCGCTTGCAGTCGTCAGCTAATGAGGAGCACTGATTTCTGATAGGGTCAAAACAAAGCTTTTGTATGGGCAGGCCCACAGAAAACAGCTCTAGGTAGATCATGGCGGGGTGTCCATAGATAGATATATATATATATATTTATAACAATATCGCTCCGCATGCGCAGTTAGGGCGATCAACACCACTAGCTTGGCTAAAAATATATCCACTTGGCTCAAGGCTTGGTGAGACCAGCAATTTGGCCATACAGTGTGTATCCGCCGACCCCGGCCGACGCAAGGGGGAGCGCGCCAGGGAATAATGATAGATCCGCCAGAACTCAATCGTTTGGAGCAGAACTCAATGGGTTAAAGCCGTGGCGAAGGGGTGGTTTCAGATGCTTTT